TAAAAAGAAATGATTAGAGATTAGATTTATCTAGACTCACAGGCGATCGAGATTTTAGAATGGAAAGGTTTTCAACGTGTCCACTCCTAGGGAGCAAGGGAAGGTGCTGTGGGGAGGAAAAAGTGGAGGACAAGAGAGGGCCGTAATCCCCCATAATCCCCTTCTCCGCCCAGTGGGGGTAACGAGCTACGTGCGTCCCTCTTTGTGCATCACTCTGTGGTTTGTTGTTGCAATTTGCAGACAGTTCTCGCTCGGCAATGAGAGGACACGACATGTGCCTCTCAGAAATGTGACTTTGGGCAGAGGACAGATGAGGACAGAGATACATCGAAGTATAGACCTGCTGTAAAAACACAAATACAAAACACTCTGACCCAGAGATTCATACATAATCATAATCGGTGTATGTCTGGAAAAGTGATATTATTGTCAGATTTGTCCTATTTTTATAGCCACGTTCCTCCATCAATTTAATTTGCACATGGAAGAAGACGAATGTCAACATGTGTAATCAAGTGGAAATTGTGATCTCAGTGCCTCACGGTGAGACAGTGTTAGACTAAAGCCCATTTCTGTGAAGGCTAATATGATCTTGTCTGAATAACCACCATGGTCACAATCAAGTCAGATCTTGTCAAGATAACAGTGGACTTTTATACATTTTCATCTATCGTGGCTCCATCCATTAATTTGCGAGACCACTAATACTTTTGAGGGTCTGGTTGGGCCGGAGCCAATCCCTGCTGACATTCTTTATACAGTCTGTGGGTGCACCTTTCCATCAAGGCCAACTTTCTGAGACAACAGGAAATTTAGAATCCCCATTTAATCTAACCTGCATGTCTTTTGACTGTGGGAGGAGGCCGGATTACCTGCAAAAACCCCAATCAGCAGTCATGGTCGAAGTCAGAACCCTCTTGAGGGGACAATGTTAACAGCACTTGCTTCTAAAACAAGTCCACTCCTGGAGTGCACCAGCCAGTGAAGACAAGATAACATTTGTAACCCTTCAAGAAGACACTACTCTGGTGCTACTGAAGGAGCTCTCATGTTCACGACTCTTTCTTCTTGTGCGTCTATTTAAGAATGGCCATGTGCTCGCGTCTCCCCCGAGCTGCCTCCCAAACAAACAGACCTGACCCACATATAATCTCTTCATTCAATCAGCTAGTCAATAAAGCTAGTTATTCCTGGAATGTCTACAAACACACTTTTCCAGGTCTCCTCCGGTTGGCCTCACATGGTGCATCAAATGACTCACCCCTCGTCTGTATTTTGTGTGTATTTGGAGGTTCAGATGGGAGCAGAGATGTCCTCACTCGCAGGCCTGTGGCAGCAGCTGACTTGGGTTAGCACCTATAATTAGATTTAGGGAAACCGCTGTCTCCATGTTTGTCTCTACAATCCCAGTTCAATTGGGAGACATGATCTCCATGAAAAGGTCTTTTTGAAGTTGCTGCCCTGCGGTTGAATTTATATTAGGGATTTGGTATCGATGATAGTGTTGTTAACAGGTTTTCTTTCAGTGTGTGTGCAAACACAAAGTGTATTTCTGACGCCTGGACACCGCACAGGCTAATCCCCCCTGTAGCATCTCAGGGGGTCCCCCAGGAGGTGGAGCTTTACTTACTGACAGTCTGGGCAGACAGGGTTTAACCAGCAGGACACCTGCTTTCTCAGCAGTCAGGACAACATCAACAGCGCTGAGGGGGGTCCACATTCAGGGCAAAGGGGATGTTTTGGGGTTCGCTTTTGGGGCAGAAAGGTCTTTCTTTGTCTGAGTCGACCAGAGGCAGAGGTAGTATGTGTAAGCATGTGTATGTAGTATTTAATATACTGTTAAAACTTCTATAAAAACTTTGAAAGAAAACAGAAAATCCATGAAAGAATGAGTTTACTGCTATAAAAATAACCCAGTTTGGAGATAGGGTATATAAATATGCAGCTAATGGTGCCACACAATTTAAATAATGAACTCTAAATGTGTGTGGCACAAACAGACGAGGTTAATCCGCGTGTGATCCCTCAGACTCAGAGAACATCCCGTGCCCGTGGCGGCGAGCTTGAAGAAAACACCTTTTGTCAATGAAATGGGATTTGCGAAAGTGCCATCTGGACACGAGAGCAGGAGCTGTGTCTCCGCACGCCGTCTGATCCATGCAGCCCCGTCGGCCTGGCCTCTCTCTCCGAGGACAGGAAGAGGGATCAGACTGACCTGAGAAGAAGGGATGAGGAGTGTGGGGGGGGTCCTTTAAATAGATATACATGTAAACATCAGATGAAATACCAAGATTTAGTAGATTTTGCAGAAGACTTTTGCATTGAACAGAAGAATCTTGTTTTTTACATTTGTATTTTCTTTATATTATGAGTTTAAAAAAAATCAATAGATATCAAATTAAGCTGTTTTTTTAAAATTAAAACAACAAATAAACACAATAAAAACCTTCATTTTTATTAACTGAATTTTTGACTGAGGGAAAGTTTAACTTAGAAAAAGATACTAAAAATATCTCAGGACAATCAGAACCACTCGCCAAAACCTCGAGCATAGAATCTGATCTTGAAATCAAACGTCAAGTCGCTTTCTTTACGTCTGAGGGGGTCATGATTAACCTTTGGACTCAAGGAACTTTCTGCCACATCTCATGGCCTTCATTTGGAGTCACAAGAAATGGCTGAAAGCTTTAACTATTGTTGACTAAATCGGTTTGGTTACTTTTACTTTTCCATAGCAGTCAGACTTGTTTTTTATAGAAGTGAATCCAATAAAACTTGGGTAAATAGAAGAGTAGAGACAGAATATTGTGAGTCTGTGCTGCTTTGCGACTTTCAAGGCTTTAATCTACTTTTAAACGTCGTTGATATAGACTTGACTGCATGGCTGTAGAATGTATATTGTAACTTCAAAATTCTGCAGCTGTAATCTTAACCAAACCTTGTTAAAGTCGCTCAGTGCTGGATTGCAGCAATACATTTAAATAACTAGCTTTAAATTATTTGAATCATGTAGTTTCTCTCATTGTAATCTTAACTGTGCTTTAACCCTTTTTTCATACATTTTGCTTTGATGCCTTTTTACTGTTTTCATATTTTCTGTTTTTGCACAGCACTAAAACACTTTATTATTTATGTCATACAATAGTTTCCATTGTCATTTTTATTAGCTATTCTTGTTTTGGCTTTTATCAATCAATTAATCTATCAATCAATCAAATTGTATTTATTGATTTTTATTGATTATGATATTAATAAAACTCTATGGGTCTGTGTATACGTATATCATATAGCATATAGGGAGATTACAAAGAGATTTATAGACAATAATCCTGTGAAAAACTAGAGATTAAAATGTATTTATGTGGGTAAGCAGATTGTTACAAATATATGTAACATATATGGTTTTGCCAAAGAATTGAGATTTATTAATTATTGTTACAATTTTTTTTACCTCAAGTTTTTATGCCTATTTAAAGCATATTTTTGCACACACAAGTGGTGGTAAATTATCTTTATTATTCTATATTAGCATAATAGTTGTTTATTAGTACATTTGTAAAACAAAAAACAAATAGCACCTATTATGACTGTAATAGTCACATTTGTTGTATTTATCGTCGTGAAATCGTTGAAAGACCCCAGATGTAAATAGTCACGTTCAGCTGCAGCTTCAGTCTCCTCCCATGACGTCGCCCTTTATGGGTGCGCGCTCCTATTTGCGCGTCCTCGCTGACCGCATGCGGGTACACGTGAGGGAGGAGTGGGCGGGGCTAGCGTGGGACGGCTTTAGGGGGCTCGTTCTTATAGAGCCAATGAGAGGGGCCTATATAGAAAAACATTTACATGGGGTCAGGAGAGGAGAAACCCACATGCTGATAACTGGGAAGTCTGGGTCAACTGGGCGTCAGTGGTGGGGGGATTATTTACTAGAACATGAAAACCAGCTGTTTACTTTTACATTGTGGAACTGGTTTGTGGTTAACCCACGTCTGCCTCAGGTGAATGATTGAAAATCACATTTTAAGGGTTCCAAGGACAAAAAGCCGTAAAATTGTTAAATATTTGACCAAAATCAACAGTCCACTTATGAAGTGGATCTATTCCAAATTGCACACACTTATGTCAGTCCACTAAACATGTCTGATTTTTTCCGAGGTCAAGAGCCATGAATTAATGGAAATGTTTTAAAATGCCACATCTTACAATGTTAGACATTGGAAATGTGATTGTGAATTAAAATTGCTTCTTCCTCGACCCATATCGCAAGTTTTGGTGAAATCCGCCCAGTTGTTTTTGCATAATCCTGCTAACAGACAAACAAACGCAGTCCAGAGCGTAACCTCCTTGGTAGAGTTACCTTGAAGAAAGAAAACAATCAGTCCATCTTTTTGCTCTTTAGTTTTCATTTTTATTTGAGGTGCAACTGTCTAGTGCAATTTTAACGTCACATTTGTGATGGGCTGAGGAACATGCACAAAACATCGACAATTTTGCTAGGCATTTTCTTTTCCTCTCATTTCTTTTTTGTTTTGTCAAGTGTCTCACTATTGTGTTCAGTGCTCCAGTTGCACTACGAGCAACTTAAAACACTCAGCTGTACAAAAGACATAAAAGAAAATAAACAACAGAAAATAATAGTTCATTAAAAAACAACTACACATGTCCCCAATAATGGTAAAACAGTCCAGATCATTTGAGCGAGTGAGTTTGAAGCGACAGCAGAGGAGAGGTCACGTACAGTACGAGGCCGTGTGTCACTGCAGGAGAGACAGCATCTTATAGTGCGGAGGTAAATAATCCTCTTCTGGTCCCACCCTGAGTAATGACATCACAGGTATTTTCAAAACCTGGCAAAACCATAGAT